TTTTAAGAAAATCTAAAATTATATTAAAATTGGGATTTATAATATAGATATAATAAGTTATTTTTAGAAAGAGCTACTTAAGTAAAATTTACTATATTAAAAATTAGTTATAATAGAATAAGTATTAAAAGAGAAGTTAGTTTCTTAATAATAAAAAGTAGTTAGTTTTTCTTATATTCTATAGCTTAAAATAAGATTACTATCTTAAGGTTATTAACTATAGATAGTAGGATTAAAGTTAGAAAAATTAAATAAAAGCTTTAGATAGAAATTAGTAGGTAATAATCTTATTATTCAGCTATTATTTCTTCTAATACTAGATATAGTACTTATTGTTTATTTTTACTATTTGAGATTATTATATAGCTTCAATCTATTTAATAATATTAAGTAAAGCTAAAAAAACCAAATAATAAAAGCTAAATATTTTTTATAGAAATTAGCTATAAAAAGTATAACTTTTAATTTTAAAAGTTATTATATTATATTAAATTAATATAAATACTAGCTATTTAAAGTAAAAAAGAAAATTTAAATAACTTAAGTTATTATTTAGTTTTTTTATATAATCTTACTTAATATTATTAAATAAATTAAAGCTATATAATAATCTTAAATAATAAAAATAAATAATAGTTAAATAATAAAATTATTACTTATTAATTTCTACTTAAAGCTTTTATTTAACTCCTCTAATTTTAACTTTATTATTTACAGTTAACAATTTTATTATCTATAATTAATAATCTTAAAATAATAATCTTATTTTAAGTAAAGAAATATAAGAAAGATATTTCTTATTATTAAAAAGCTAACTTTTCTTTTAATACTTATCTCTTATCTTATAATAACTAACTTTAAATATAATAAATTTTATTTAAAAAGCTCTTATTACTAATAATTTATTATATTTATATTATATAAATAATATCTAATATAATCTTAAATTCTCTTAAAATTTAAAGAATAAATTAAAAAAATAAAAATTAAATTTCCTCTTAAATTTTTTTAAAAAAGAAAATTTATTTAAGTTATTATTATATTATTTATAATATTTAAATAAAAGATAATAAATTATATTAACTATTTTTAAATATTATTTACTTTTTTATAATAAAAATAAAAATAATAAATAAAAAAATAAAATTCTTAATAGTAATTTTATTTTATATATTTAAATAGAAATAGCTATATTTTATAACTTAGTAAAAAATATTAATAATATTAATTTAAGAAGTTAAGTCTTCTTCTAAGATATTACTAAGGCTTAATATAACCTCTGGTTTCAGGAGCTATTATATTATATTGAGTTGGTATAGATGCTAGCTACATAGGGTGCTGGCTAGAGGGGGGATTTGAATGACTTGGGTCATCATGGGCGTTGGGATCTCGGGGCGTTTCACAGGTCGGGTCGTGGGAGTTTTCAGTACATTCATCAAGGTTAGAGTCGAAAAAGTTAGACAGGATTCCGGCAGAGAAGAAAAAAGCAGCTTGAAACCCAAAACTTGGGCCTTGGCAACTGTGACGTGCGCGCAACGAAAATGCAGTAAATTCAAACACTAGGTTCCCTCATCGAGGGAATAGATACTATAGTATAATTCTTAATTTGTTATATTTTATAGTATATATATTAATAAGATTATCCAGCTCTACCTCCAGAATATTTTCCTTAAAGAAGAGATAGAAGACTTACTCTTTAAGATATTCGCCTACGTCAGTCTGACCCGCAACCCCCGCGCTACCAGAGATATAGTTCCCCAGGAGGTATAGGCGAACCTGCCACCTAACCAGAACCACATCTCTGGGGCCAGAACTTTACAGCATTCGAGAGGTACTCTAAGCCATTCCTACTACTTCCCCGTCCGCTTAAAATAGCTCCCTGCTCACAGTCTGTCTATTTATAGAGCACTCGCAGTCCCCTACCCACGCCTGACATATCCCTAACCTTAACACATATAGTTCCCACACCTAACTAGTCCTAGCCCTGGCCCTGTCCCTAGTCATAACATATCCCTGGTTATAACATAGTTACTCTATAGTCGGACATTCAGTACACAAGAGACCCTATCAAATAGTATTCGCTAGTGACTATATCACATCTAGTTATTGGAGTGAAAAGACAACCACCACGGCGCAGTCTTCCACCTCCATCAAAACGTCAAACTGAGCGGGCCGAGGCCCCTTCCCCTTGATAGCCTGGCACAATAGGCAGGCAACAAGGGTTCCTCGGCGATCACAATCGCTGTATCGACTGTGACGTGGCGCAGAACAGAAAGCAGCGCACATGTCCGACTTGTTTGCTAGGTAGCCATGGAGCGTCGCATGGAAATACCCTTCGCGTCCTGAACGACGAGGCGGATTTTTGCCGGGTTTAGATAGCGCGCCATTCTCGAGGCCTTGGTTTGACTCTTGTCTGCGGTCGGGGTGGATTCCTCAGGCGATCGGCGTCTTCTGATGCGCGCCTTGTCCCACGGTCGCGATGGCAATACGCGCCTTGTGGCGACTACCCTGCTTGTGGATTCCTCAGCTATATCTGGGAGCTACATCAGTTGCGATCTCCCGGGGAGACGTTATTATAGAGGTATCCGCAAAGTACCAGGCCTTCGACAATTAATCCGAGGTCATGAGTTAATAGCTTCTTCCGAAGTCACTGACAAGACACGAGTTTATTGATATAGCTGATGGCTCCCTCCTATTACTTGCTAGACAACCATTGTCCCGAAAAAGACAATATTTCACCGTGGCGTCCGCGCGGAAATAATAGAACATGCCCCATAAGGCCTTCGACCTTGTCGACCTCATCGCCCTTCTCTTGACTTTCTCCAGAATGACACTGCCCCATGTCCGTATCGTCGGGCAGCTCTTGAATTTGCCCAAATTGAAACTGGTCGTTGAAGCCTTCATCCAGCGGAACATCAACTCTGGCTTTCTCTTGGCTTTCCCCAGATTGAGACTGGCGTATGCGTCTTGCCCTGGCTTTTCGGTTCCGAATACCGGCCCTGCCGCCGTGCTGGTCCGACTTGTTAACTCCGTGGAGTACAAACAAGTGATCTTCTAGGCCCCAACTGGTCTTGAGCGGTCGTTTGGCGGAGGGGCAGCCTTCGTGGGGGCATGGGAAGGATGTTCCAAGAGCTTCCTCTATCCCATGAGAGCTCGCGTTATGTCGGCGAAGCTCGGATCTGGATCTAAATGCCCGACCATTACAGTCTTGCTCGGAACATTTAAACAGCTCAAGGTGTAGAGCGATGAAGGGGCTATAATGATCAACATTAGCCATCATAGACATTAGACGCGGGGATCGGGTTAGCATACAGTAAATGTTTCTTTTCTGTACGTGGTGGATGCTTGCGTCCACATCCAGCTTCTTTCTCGTATGGGCAATGGTAGAGACCATCTGAGCCAACCTCAACTCTTTGATAAACGGGATCTTCGTACGGTCGAGAAACCCCCCCCAAATCTGAGGAGGCTTCGACGCTTGGGTTGGCTTTGATGCTTTGGTCGGCATGCTGGGGATGATGGGATCTGGATATAGCAGATATTAGTAAAGTTCAAGAGAAGATTGAGGGTCATGAGCCGTGCACCTCGTGATAGACTCAAGCTCTTCTCCGGCAGAGGGGCCAAACTCGGCGGCTGGTTTCATTCCTGGTTCTCGAATGAAGACCCATTCCTTACAACTCGTTGGCCGGGGAGATTGATCACCATCATCAGGCCTTCTAGCTTCAACAGCTCTGGCTCTCTCTCGGCCTTCCCCGGTATCGCCATGGGCACGATGCATGTGAGTTTTTAGGCTGCCCTTGCGGGTGAATTCTTTCATGCTGTCCAGGCAGTTGGGGTAGGGACAATACCAGGAAGTGTGACGAGTATGAAACTCGTTGTCATGGTTGCGAAGAGCTTTTATGCTGCCGAATTCTCGTGCCTGACAGGTTCCCTTGTTACATTGAAATGGCTTGAAGTGGGCATCTAATGCGTCGCTATAATGAATATTATTAGCGACCATGGATACAGGACGCGGGGAAAGCGTACAAGAACTTATATCTGTTGCTTTGTGGTTCATGCTTGCATTTACCAAGGACTCGGAATGGGCAATGGAAGAGATCACCGCGGTCACGAGTAGCGTTTTGGTAAAGGGGATGCTGATGGGCAGCTCGATGCATCCTGAGGTAATCTTGGGACTCGTGGTGGGAAAAATACGAGAAGGCTTCGACGCTTAGGTTGGCTTCGATGGTTTGGTTGGCAAGCTGGAGGTGATGAGATCTGAATATGGCAGATGTTAGTAAAGGTGAAGAGAAGGTCGAGGGTCATAAGGAGTGTACCTCTCTCCAGCCAGTTCATTGTACCATGGATCGAATGCGTACATGGTAGGGCCGGCAGTGGGGAAGTATTCTGTGTCCATGCTTGGTTCTTGACTGGAGGCCTAGATGTGAGCTACTGCTGGACAGTAAGACGCAGTGGACATACCTCAATCAGCCTCTCCAAGACCTTTGCCTGATGGCTAGGAATTGCAGGGTGCGTACTGTCTGACTCGTCGCAAGTTGTCTGATGGCTAGGAATTGCAGGGTGCGTACTGTCTGGCTCGTCGCAAGAGGCAAGCAGCGGTATTTACGTCCAGCACTTGGCCTCGATGCAGGGAGGCCGGTGTCAACGACGGCCGTCGGGTATTAATTGACCCGCATGCATCCCTTGCGTCCCAAAGTTCCCTTGCATCCCAAAGTGATGAGAGATCAGCTCAGTTCATTTGGTGGCGCTGAGGAAACAAGCCGCATGATGGTTGAGATGCTACCTCCGGGAGGGAGTGTGGGCCAGTATTCGTAGGATTGAGGCTTGGTCTGGCTTACGACTAATTCCTCAACAATATTTCCTACTCCTTGGCGCCATGGGATTCGTCTGCGATATGCAGGCGACGCAAAAGAAGCATAGTATCATCACATCTCGCCCAATCTGCCTCCAATGTCGTCGTTGGGGCTGAGCTCGCCTAAGCAGGTCTTAAGTTAAGTAGCCAATAGTAGGGAAGCCCATTCTGTCGGTAAAAGTGGGCCCGATGATCAGCAAGCCTGCGAGGTCCAATCTATCAAGAGCAACAACCACAGGAGGAGGGGGATAAGGAACAGGGACAGGGACAGGCTATTGTTTCCAAAGCCCATTGTCTGGGAAAAACTGGTCCGGCAGTCCGGCAGTCCGAGCCAATAAGCTAGGAGACTGTGCCCAGGTGATAAGCGAGGTGTGCAGCACTCTCGGCGGTTATTGCTTTTGACGGAGTGGATTAAGATTACGAGTGTCAGCATACGCCAGCAAGTTACTTTGATTGAAAGAGAGGAACGTACAGTGCCAACCCGCAAGCGCCTTTGCCGATGGCTAATGCCTTGCGGTTAGGGAAGCGGATCCTTCCATGAGCATGAGTGACGTGACCGAAGCGGTGGTGAAGCGATCGCCCAGTCCAGAGACGGAGACGCAAGTGGATAAGTCGGAAAATTCAGCGTCTGCTCCAGTAGAATAACAACTGATCCCGGAAGAAGAGCCAGGGACGGCATCGCGACTGGGGATGCCTGAAGATGGACTTCCCCAGGAGGTAATCGTGTTGGAGCTTGGGAAATAACCTGGGCGCCATCGGCCCACTTCTGAAGCTAGGATTGAGCACTGCAATGAGACAGCGCCCTCAGCTTCCAGCAGCCAGACTCCAGTCATCGCAGCACCCGAAGCCTCCAGTGGCCACCCAACTGGTGGTGTACTCGGAACCGCCCCAACAAGCGGTAAGTTCCGGGGTATAACTTGCCCGAAATAGAAGTCTCGCTCTTCCTTACGTACCCGACGTCATGTGTATCAGTTGTGGCCACCATCCTGGGCATGCGGGCTTGCAGGGGCCCCTTGCGCAAGATGTAGTCTCGAGAGCCAGGCGGCCAGCATTGCCCAGAGCCCCTGCCTCGGCTCGTTGTGAGCCAAGCCGCCGAGAGCCTGGTTCGGCAGGCTTACCAAGACGTCAATGCAGCATCAAATGGGGTACGGTAGGCCTGAGAAGAGGTGTGCGCCCTGCGAGTTGGAAGAAAAGAAAAGAAAGCCAGAGGCAGGCGGTTCGAGGAAAGGAGGCCGACGCTTGATCTTTCACCGTCTGCCAAGGCCTGTTTTGTCTTGCTCGCACGGCCGGATTCTCTCATCGTCGCTGGCGAAATACCCTTCGCGTCCTCTTGCGTGAGCGCCGACGCTTACCGAGGCCGCCCTTTGATCGTTCCTTCGGCCATGCAAGGAGAATGCTGATCTCGTTGTGCTCGCCAATCGGGCATGTCTTAAGGCCGGGCTTGAAGGCATTTTCGGTTTCATTGGGGAAGGACAGAACATGGACAGGGCCGAAGTCTAATAAAAGATGTATTCTCCTAACGCTTTAGATCTTTGCGAGCACCTTGATCCCAACCGTTTCTATACTGCCGGTGTTCCCCCTTGGTCTCCACGTTCACTCGTAGTACATTGAGCCCTCGTACTCGGAAATGTACTACCGTCCAGCTGCGGCAATCTTCACGCCCATCTGCCTCGCGTGCTGAGCCATGAGGGCGTCGGCAATAGTCAGAGCGGCCATGGCCTCGACGATGGGAACCGCGCGAGGAGCAACATTAGGGTCGTGACGGCCCTTGGCGGTCAGGACGCCCTCGCCCGAAGCGTCGTAGCGAGCAGTAGTCTGGTCCTGGGAGATTGTAGCGGGGGGCTTGAACGCAACGCGGAAGAAGATGGGCATGCCGTTGGAGATGCCGCCCTGGATACCGCCGGAGTGGTTCGTCTTGGTCTGCAGGCGGGAGGGAGGAATGCCAGCGCCGGCGCTCGGCGTCGCATCGTCGGCGGTAGACACAAAGGGGTCGTTGTGGCGGGATCCGCGCATCTCGGTGCCGCGGAAGCCAGAGCCAATCTCAAAGCCCTTGGTAGCAGGAATAGACATGATGGCGTGGGCGAGGAGAGCCTCAAGCTTGTCAAAGGACGGCTCGCCGAGGCCGGATGGGCACCCGCGAATAATACAGGTTACGGTACCACCAACAGAGTCGTGCTGATCGCGGAGCTCGGCAATCTTATCCTCCATACGCTTCGCGACGGTAGTATCAGGGCAGCGCACGGGAAGGAACTCATCTACCTTCTCGCGGGTTAGGGAGTCGACAAGCTCGAGGAACTTGGGGTTGCTACTAAGGGAGTCGACATCGTCGCTATCGGTCGTAGGCCTGTCCTCAAAGAGCTTGATGTTGCCAACCGAGGAAACAAAGGCAACGATCTCGACACCGTAGGCCTCGCGCAGCCACTTCTCGGCAACAGCGCCGGCGGCGACGCGGGCAATTGTCTCACGGGCGCTGCTCCGGCCGCCGCCAGAGGAGGCCTTGGTACCATACTTCTCGAGGTAAGTCCAGTCGGCGTGGGAGGGGCGCGGGTAGAGGTCGATGGTCTTGGAGCCGTAGTCGTGAGGGCGTTGATCCTCGTTCGGCACGGTCAGGAGTATGGGCGTGCCCAATCTGCGACGCTAGGGTATTAGCATCATGGCCAACATTATGACTTCCTGTAGGGTTGTCACACGTGCGCCCAAACTCGCATCCAGATCCGATAGTCACGCGGTCCTTCTCGTCGCGCGGGGTGGTGATGGCCGACTGGCCCGGGCGTCGGCGGTTGAGCTGCGGCTGGATGTCGGACTCGACGAGGGACAGGCCTGGCGGGCAGTTCTCGATGATGCAGGAGACGGTCTTGCCGTGGGACTCGCCGGCGCTGTGACGATGGAGGTCAGTGGCGTTGTCTTGGGTTCCTGGCAGTTTAGTCGAGGGAGAGGACGCACGTCGTCACGCGAAAGTAATGGCCAAATGTCGACATGGTGTCTTGATCCGTTCTGTATGTTCAATGGGTGAATTGATTGACGGAAGAGAAAGGGGTTGGAGGGGTTGGAGGGGCTGGAGGGGCTGGAGGGGGAGGAATGTAGCGATGTCGCAAAGATATTTTTCTTTAGCGGTGACTAACTTAATTGTGGAGTGGTGGTGTGTTACGATTTTCATGGGTGTGTGTGTGTGGCTGTGTGGCTGTGGCTGTCACAACTGGCCGTGGCTGTTACAACTGGCTGTGGCTGTTATAACTGGCGTAGTATAGGGTACGTGTGGATATATCTGAAAGGAGCTATCCACCTTTAGTAGAGACTTAATATAAAGAAAGTTAGATATTGCTAACTCTAGTAGAACCTATACTATATTACCTTATAAGCTTCTAAGCTTATTTTTAAATAAATTTAAATTTTATAGGTATATCTTTATATTAATATAAAAAAGTAATATATATATACTTAATTTTTCTTAATAAGGAAATTTAGTATTTAAATTTACTGTATTTTTATTATATATATTATAATTACTAAAGTTTAAGTTTAAATTTTAAGCTGCTTTTTTTTTTTTTATTAAAATTTTATTTAATTTTTTTAATTTATTTTAATCTTAATAAATATATTAATAATTTCTATAACTTAATCTTTAAAATATCTTAAAATCTTTAATATTTATAATAACTTAAGTTATTTAAATCTTCTATCTTATATTAAATAGCTAGTATTTATACTAACTTAATATAATATAATAACTTATAAAATTAAAAGTTATATTTAATTTAGCTGATTTTTTAAAGAAAATTTTAGCTTTTTATATTATTAATATTATTAATATCTTTAGCTAAATTATATAATATAGCTATTTTAATTTAGATATATATAATAATATTACTATTAATAAATTAATTTTTTTAACTATTAATTTTAATTTTATTATTAAAAAGTAAATAATATATAAAAATAATTAATATAATTTTTTAGTTTTTATTTAAATTTTATAAATAATATAATAATAAATTAAATATATTTTTTTTAAAAAAGATTTATATAAAGAAATTATATATAAATAAATATATAACTAAATAAGTATAAAAATATTATAGAAGTTATATTAAAATTAAAACTTATAAACTTTAATTATATTAGCTTTTTATTCTATTTAATTGTTTTTAGCTTTATTTAATATTATTAAATAAATTAAAGCTATATTTAATTTTTTTTATAATCTTACTTAATATTATTAAATAAATTAAAGCTATATAATAATCTTAAATAGTAAAAATAAATAATAAGAATTATATTTAATATTAAAAGAAATAATAGCTAAATAATAAAATTATTACTTATTAATTTCTATTTAAAACTTTTATTTAACCCCTTTAACTTCAACTCTATTATTTATAATTAATAATCTTATTATTTATAATTAATAATCTTATTATTTATAATTAATAATCTTATTATTTATAATTAATAATCTTAAAATAGTAATTTTATTTTAAATAAAAAAATATAAAAAAAATTAATATCTTCTATTATTAAAAAACTAACTTTTCTTTTAATACTTA